TGAACAGCGGTTAAATATTTTAAATGGTTTTAATATTTCCCTCCGTTAAATTGTGGATTATTTGTCTGATTTCGTCGGATTTTAGAAGCATGGGGGGGTGGCAATATTTGGTAATTAAAATGTTTTAAAAAAATGTTGAACTTTAGGAGAATTGTGTTCTGTCTGAAAAAAACATTTTACTAAAAAAATTACTCATTTAGTGTAAATCTATCTAGATATCTATGTAAAGGAACACCGCAAACTATAGACTCAAGGAGAAAGTAAAATTTATGCGATTCGATATTACTGATATAACTTTTTGACCTCGTAGATCCTCTAGTTTTGATTTTATGCACAAGTATGATCAAATAAATTCTTTTGGTATCATATTAGAAATTCATAACATTTTTAGTCTTCACAATAACTCTTCAATTTTAGGAGTTATGATTAAAACATTTACTTTAGCTTGACGTTATTAGCAAAACTAAAGAGCCATATTTCTCAAAACTGTTTAAAAGAAACAGTTTACATAGTTTGAATCAATGATTTCATGATTTATACTCTCTCTAACCCAACTATCACTCGAAATTATTTTTTGTAAAGTATTTTTGACATAATTTATTTCGATGAATACAACAAGTGAATTTAGCAAAGAATTTGATATCTTCTTTCTTTGTATGGTTGAAACCCGATGATGAAGATCTTTGATATTTCAAACTATGATTTCTGTCAAATAAAATAATCTGAGTTTGAAATATAAAAGGTCACACCATCGGGTTGCAAAGATATAGTGATTAGAACATTTGAGTTTGTGGCAAAGACGCAATTCCATTAAATTTTGAACTTTCTCCATCGTACTAATGTCAATGATTGATTTCAATGGAGGATCGCTTGTAATTGTGTGTAGTGTGAACAGTCCGTACAGTCTGTAACCAGGATTTACTGATAAAAGATAAATTTAAAGGTTTAAAGGAGCGGAGATATAATAGTTAGTTAGCTAGGTATAAGTAGAGGGCTTAGCTGGGTGGGGAGGGATGCCCAAATTTGTATTGTATCCTTCAAATCAATAATTTAAAAGATGATTATGAAATAATCTTTTCTATTCTTCAATAATTTACTAAAGATTGTCTGAGATAACAAATGTATTTGGTTATCATTGATCTAAACTCTAAACAATCTAAGAATTCATTATAGATGTTTACAGAAGGTGTGTCTAACTTCTTTCTTTATATCAAATGAATATCCGCGTTATTAAAGGGATTGTAGACTGAAACTCAAGTACCCTTTTACAGATTTGCAGGATGTTTTTAGCTAAAAGATGACAATGTTAGTCGGTAGTGGGTTAAAAAATACCGTCGAAAACGAAAATCTATAAGTTAAAGGGAGTGTTTGCGAAAAATGAAAGGGGGTATAGGCTTAATGCGATAAAAAAGCGCTTTTGATCGCTACTAATTATACTTCTATCTGTTGCGTCTATAAGGGGAAAATTGTTAAAAACGACTAGTACCGAATTATAAAAATTCAGAAACATGCAATATTCAACTCGGATCGTAAACAAATCAATTTAATTCCAAACAAAACTTTCAGATATTACAAACAATAGTCATTGATTGTTTTTCGACGCATTTGTAAATAACTGATATTTCATGATTTAAAAAAAATCAAAAATTTTATGAAATATTAACTATTTACGCATGCGTCGAAAAATAATGTAATATCTGAATGATGTGTTTGGAATTAAATTAATTTGTTTAACATCCGTTTTTGCGAACGCTCCCTTTCAGGATCATTTTAAATTTCAACAACAATCCCGTTTAATCTAGAAACATAAAATTCTAAAATTAAAAATCTTTGATCTTTCCAGGGTTGAAAGGTTCACATTGGTATCCAAATATCTATCAATGTTTTCAACAGGTTTGATATTCAGATCACAGAGTCAAGAGTTCAACTTGGAATTCAAAGATGAATTATCTGTCATAATATTGATGATGAATGTCCTGTATGATATTACGCATGAGATAAAAGTGTCCGCTGCTACGCATTAGCTATTGTTTGGGTTTTTGGTTCCTTCCAATATTTATCCATGAATCCTCCTGCCCCTCCCCCCTATGCACTCTCACTTTCCTTCCCTTTCCCTGCTCTTTTCCCCTTTTCATTTTTTTTTCTTGGCAGCATTTTTTTTTGGCTTTAACTATTTTTACATTTTTTTTTATTTGTCATAGTTTTTATTAAAGAAACGGAGATAGTTAGGTGTGGTATATTTTAGTGGTCATGGGGGGTGTGACTGTCTTGTCACAATACTACTCTTAAAATACGTCTTGTGTTTCATGTTGAGACTTGACAAAATGAATAAATTCTGATAATCTTTTCATTACAAACATTATATGAATTGTAGCTAGCATTTTTATTTATAATTTATAATTACCTTTACCATTCATATATTTTCCTTGAATGAATCCTGTAATCCCGCAATATATTTAGATGTCGTCTTTGTTAAAGCGAGTATTTTGGAAGAAAAACTTATATTTGTAGTTAAAGCACAGGAAAGCACAAGTGTTTGGGGATAATCTTAATTATAAAAAGATTCTAACAGCCAGATAGAAAAAAGTTAGGGGCTCCAGCAGCACCTTAAATCCTTTATTTAGTCAGAGTAGCGTCCTATTTTAAGAGTTTCAATGAAAAATAGCGGGTTTTCGGTCAAAATTCTTAACTAAAACATAACATCTAAACAACTTAAGAGACTTTTCTAAAAATAAATTTTTTAAGCACCCCCCAAAAAACTAAAGCATAACTAACTGAAAGAGTAGGTCTACCAAACTCAAAACTTTTCATTCTGCAGATGATTGTTACAGCGGATTTTCAAGCAAATATTTCTGCATATTTTAGACTCATGTCCAGATTTTATTTAGATATGCATGCATAGTTATTTAAAAGCGAAAAATGCAATAAAGAGACAGAGCCATGTTAATTAGCATGTATTCGTTTATTATGTGTAAAACCGATAAACGTTTTTAAGAAGTAGAAGGAAATAAAAAATGTCAATAATCGCTAATAAACCTTATTTTTTCACTATTTTAATAGCCAATGGGGCTGGACCGTCGATTGGGCTGAATTTTTTTGTGGATACTCATAGGTGGCCAGGGGTGTAATAGGCTAAAACAAATCGATTTTAAAAAAATATTTTTTTCTTCTTTAATTTTTTTTTTCACGGGCAACGCCTGGCCCTTAAGCTAGTATTTATATAATCTATATTTATTTTTCGTGTCCTTTCTATTTCTGTTGAGTTTTACCGTTTATTTACTCTGTATTCTCAGTAATTGTTTGTTGATTGATTAGTTGATTGACTGAAAAATCAAGTGATTGATTGATTGCTACCTCTGCTTCTACTGTATGTTTCTGGGTTAGTTTAGTGGGCTGTTTGTGCACACAATAATTAAGCACACTTCATACAAGGTACTTATGCAAGATAAGTTATTTCAGAGGTGTGCGCATTTTTTTTGTACTGCAGTGTACTGTCTTTGGGCGGAATAGTAAACACAATACGGATTTCACAGCCTGACATTGAATCCATTTTCACAAAAATAATCTATGAAATATTCTGGTCATAGGAAACTATTGTGTGATTTTTTAAAATTATCAAAATTAACTGCTTTTATCATCCACGGATACTAGACGAACACTGATGCATTTTTTTCAAAGATTCCGCCCAGAGAGAACTGGTTTCAATATGTGCGCAGAGTATACGCGACAGCTATTAACTTTCCTTGCATTATAACCTTGACTTCAGACATCCATCTTTCATGATTAGTAGACAAATAATTTCGTAGACATTATGTATGTAGTCGTTATATAGACATTTTGTATGTAGACGTTATATATACATTATGTATGCAGACGTTATATAAACATTATGTATGTAGACGTTATATAGCCATTATGTATGCAGACGTTATATAGCCATTATGTATGTAGACGTTATATAGACATTATGTATGTAGACGTTATCTTGACATTATGTATGTAGACGTTTTATAGACATAATGTATGTAGGTAGACGTTATATAGACATTAAATAGACATGCACCACTTAACCCTTCACTAAAGCTTTCGGTGCGTACTACAGTAATAACGCGTTTACTAAGCTAAGAAATAGTGGGTTTTAGTAGATCGAGCGACATATTTGACAGACATTTGTTATATTTTGTAGACATTAAGAAGATATAGGTATTAGTAAACATTTTCCAATCATACAGTAGACAATAGACATGTATAGATATTTGTTAAATATAGAATAGACATTTGACATTTGACATTTTCTTGTAGTAATTCACTTCCCTACAGGAAACGATTCCATGCCTCAAAGCAAATTTTTCTAATCTCTAAATCTTTGCAATCTGATGGTGTAAACCATTAACATTTCAAACTTAGATAATTTTATCTTACAGGATTCATAGTTTGAAATATCTTATATTTATGCCATTGGGTTGCAAGGAAATAGGTATTAGAAAATCATTTTTTTCTACTTTTTTTTTACCCAGCACCTCCATTATCCCAACTGCTTGCATCAGTTTGCTGGTATTTATCTAAAATTAATGTTGTTTTAATCTATCAATTTCTACTCTTTGGGTCAGTTTGGCGTTTTGCTTTAATTTTATGTCTTAATTAGATATTCTACAATTTTTCCGACGCCTGCGCTTTGACTCTATAAAACTACTGGATTAAAAAAGATTCATATCAAAACGATCTATAGTTAAGCCCAAAATCTGCGCGACAAAAAGACGAAAGTAAATCAATCTCATCTCTTGTGTATATTTAGTTAAACCAGTAGTTTGAAAACTAACTTAATAAGTGAAATTGGTCTGGGTACATTGCACATGTTTATTGGACTAACTAAAAAAATAACTAGAGACTAAGAGTCGTCTACCTATTCCAACGTTTCATGAGTTTCGCGGTTTTATTTGTTTCATAACTTCGAATGCACAAAAATTGGAATCACACAAAAAAACATTTTTTCCTTTCAGATGTTGAAGTTGTGTTTGAGTTTAGTCGTACTGCTGGTGGCCCAGGTGGGCTCCGCTCCTTTTGATGGTTGGCGGCGGAATCCCTCCGCCCCGACCACTCAGTCAAAGCGGATTGAACCGCCTCGCCTGGGAGCTCCGGCAGTCTTTGATCTGTTCCATCCCGAGCTACCCTCCCCGGCCACGCCTCTAATGTATTCTTTAAATGAGGGTGTGGCAAGGGGTGATACCGCTCCCGCTCTTGGTAGGGCGGACTGGGTAGGCGGAAGAACAGAATCGGCGGAGACAGATAATACAGTTCCTGTTATACATCTACCAGAGCATAACGAGAAGGTATAAACATAATAAAAACAATAAAAATGGTAAATAGTTAAACTCTAAATTATATATATACTGATGCTTGATGCAAGTCAGGGGCGTTATCAATCTATTGATTTCAGGGGGTTTTCAGGCCCGAACGGGTGCTGAGCCCCCCTGGAAAAATTTAAGCCCCCCCCTGGAAAAATTCCTGAATACGCCTCTGAATTGCGAGCAATCAGTTCCTTTAAGTCCCCCTTCCTTCTAAGCCAACATAGTAGGGTCACTTGAATTTTCGCTTACAGTCCCTTTAATAAAAACATTGTAAATAAATTCATATTGATAGATTTGTTTCAGAAATGATTGTAAACTTACACGTCAATCAATGTCATTAGATACCCAATGGTGTCCATAATTACCTCCATAACCTCCGAACCGTACATTAAACACGAGACACAAATAACAAGATTTGAAACAATTTGTTCTAACTTTATGAGTAGTTAACTGTGGAGGTAGAAAAGGGCAAGTAAATTATAAGGTACTGCTCCCACTCTAAAAATTAAAGGGACTGTGAACGTAATTGCAAGTGAAACTTTATGCAAAAGATGGTAACGCCCGATTTTGAACGGTACCCTTGAAACCTTAGTCTTATAAAAATTTGGAATATACCATCTTTTCATGAAAACTTAATCTGATACAAATTTGGATTCATTTTCTTGCTTCAAAAAGTGTTTCATTCTGATAAAATTACTCCAATACTTCTTATAAGCAAGAAATGCTCAAGAAATTTTCGCATAGAAACCGCAAATGAAAATAAACAGTGTAAAGAAAGAAAAATATGGATATCGAAGTAATAAGTGATCAGACAAATTACAGATTACCGTTGTGAATCGGACATTGCCATCCCTTGATATTAACACTTACATCACAGCTTAAATGAAACCTTTATGTTTCCTGCACTATAGTTCCAGCAGAAGTAAATATTTACATTTACTGATAGCGCTGATTGAAGGATTCATAACTCTATGATAATGAGATAGATAGAAAGATAGATGTTTCTATTTCTATTGGTTCAGACTAGACAACAAACGCATGACTGAACCCTGAGTGGATCAGGCGCTAATGGAATCGGCATACAGGAGTGTAATAGTCCCTTTAAGATAAGCATAATGACGGAAATGTGTTAAATTAATGAGCTCAAGAGGCTCACCACCCCCCTCTCCTCCAACCCTGTACCCGCACAGATTACACTAATTGTTATTGTTGTGAATTTACGTTGTAAAGTATGCGTTCCAAAAAAGCGATGTCAAAAATCAAAAGTAAACTTAAACACATGTTAACATAAAGAACACACGTCATGGTTTCTTTATAGTTAAACTTTAAATCTTTGCCTCAAACTCTGATTTCCTAACCCCTTTATCTTTGCAGCCCAATGTCGTAGACGTTAGATATTTTAAACTTTGAATTCTATTAGATAAAATAATATAAGTTAGAAATATGAAAGGTTTACACCATCAGGTTGTAAGTAAATAGTGATTAGAAAATTTGAGTTTGAGGCAAAAATTGAATTCCTTTATTGTGGGAGCCACAAAAAGATGTAATTCATTTTTCGGGATGAATGTAAACAAACTAGTACTCAGTTTTATTTATACCTGTCAGAAACTGCAGTACGTTTACATACAGTGATAACCAGACAACAATGGTCCAGGAAGACGAAATTAATGCAAAACTTAATTATATGTAATTGTTAGAAAGCGAATAGTTATACTACACCTTTAATCCACTAATTTAGCGAAATGGGTCTGCTTACACTGTCTTTTGCTCATTTGACTATTTAAAGGTATAACTTGATTCTAAAGGTCGCCTTTCTATTTCAGAGTTATCTTGTTCTTACTAGTTTTGTAAATCACTGTAAATAATGGTTCCTAGATACATTAAAGGGACTGTAAGTATAATTTTAATGCCTAATTTACAACGGTACCCTTAAAAGCTTTTTCTGATCCAGTTTAAATTAGATATCCATGATTTTAAACTGAATATTTTCATTTGTGGTTTCTCTTCAAAAGTGACTCCCGCATTTTCACATTTTTAACCTAAAGGGATAGGGTTAAAGCCCGGTTTTAGGCCTAAAGGGAGGGCTTTGGGTATGTAGGAAAAGTCAGAAAATTTCAACAGCCTCAGACAAATACTTTTTGAGTTATGTAAAAAAAACTACAGGGGGGGGTCAAATTGACCCCCCCCCCAGCAGATATAGGGTTAAGGATACCGCTGTGAATCGGGCATTGCTATCTTTGCATAGAGGTTCACTTGAAATTATGCTTACATGTCCCTTCATTAAACTAAACTAAAAATATTTGTTTAGGTATTGGATGTTGATTATTTAGACATGTTCCCACAGGATTTACTAGGTTAATCAATTTATCAATCAATCAATCAAATAATCTAAAAATATTGAAATTGTGCTGACCTCAATGCAAAATAGATATCTTGATCTATAAAAAATATAATTCTAACTTATTTATTAAAAATTGAAAAAAGTTACCTTCACTTTGTTATAACTCCATATTAATAATATTTTGAAATATATCACATTTTTTGTTCAGTAACACATGTTTCGGTATGTAAATTTAGAGCGACTGTCTGTATTTATGAAGGGATGAATGTAATGTGTTAACACCATTTTTTCACCAGAAAGTTTGCAAAAAATGAAACTTCATGTTCATTATATAGCACTCTAGAACATGTTTATGATTGCGAATACACTTTTGGCCTATTAATCTTCAGGTCGTTACAAGGCTTCCTGCATACACACTTTAAAGGCTAGCAATCTATATAAATAGTATGGAGTGTAGAAGGTGGGATGATCTGTAGAATGATATATCATGTTTTCAGCTCTAAAGACCAGCTGTTTGAATGCATTTATTATAAATGTATTCATGTTTTTATTCCTGAAAATGCGCAAGTTAAACTGAGTAAATCCGTGAAATATTTTGATTGATAATTGAATGATTACAAGACTCTGAGACTGCAATAAAACCAGTGGATGTAAAAGTGTTCCAACACGACGGATATGTTGATTACGAGATCGAGTTCGTGGAACTTGGAGGAGATCACATTAATTTGTTCGAAAATACTGATTTAGGAACAAACAAATTTTACATGCATTTTAAATTTTATCATTAGTTCGGACTGATTTGGAAACAAATCCTAACTCTGACCTGGATCCAATGGAATTAAGTCTTTGTCACCAACTCAAATTTTCTAATCCCTTTATCTTTGCAGCTTGATAGTATAAACCTTTGATACTTTAAAATGTGATCATTTGATGTAACAGTTTAAAATATTTAAGGTTTACAACATCGTAGGCCGAATTTAAAGAATTTAAGTCGCGGGTTAAATTCGCCAAAACCCGGTTTAAATTGAGCGCCGACTTGAATCTTGAAACATTGAATACAATTCTAAGTGAAACCAGCCATAATTAAGCCGCGGCTTAAATTTAAACCCCGGCTCAAATTCTTTAAATTCGGCCTCGGGTTGCAAAGATAAAGGAATTTGAAAATTGGAGTTTGTAACAAAGACTCAATTCCTTTTATGACATATTTGCGGGTTCCAATATTCTAAATTAAAGACTAAATCTTGATGTTTGTACAGAGAAGAGCAAAGTTCAACCACGAAGAGTTGAAGAATCTTCCGACCTAAACCTAGAAGATAAAATCGAAGAAAAGGATTACGAAGAAGTAAGCAAGGAAGAAGAGGATCAAGAAGGAGAAACAACTGAACGATTACCAACCACTTTATCAGGTTTGAGCCATCTTCATACCACCTATGATTCCTCTAACATAGAGACGTTAGTTACTTTACGTCCCTTGGGACAATTAAGTAAAATAACTAATCGCTCTGCGAAGTTTTCGTGAACAAATTCGCGCACTAAAATCTAAATTTCTGAAAATTACAAAGTTTACTTAACCACGGGTTCCTTCCATAAAGTAAAACTCCCTTAACTTCCCAGTAAAGTAGTAAATAGTTATTACTGATTAGTTGTCCTAAGCCTTATATCTATGAAACCTGATGTTGATATTTCAAACTATAATCTCTGGAAGATGAAATTGTCAAAGTTTGAAATATCAAAGATTGCATCACTAGCTGTTGATCAGATTTTTTGGCGAGTGGTCGAAATAAATAAAGAAGATAGGAGATAAAGAGCTTTTGTCGTTAGTTCTTAGCTTTCTATATTTCTTTCTTCAAATTTTACAATTCTGGAATCTGGATTAAGTAATATTTAAAGGTTATACTATGTTGCTAGGCTCTACAGATTCTAAACAAGATTTTCTGGCTACCACAAAAAAATATCACGATCTCAAGTCTGTTAAGCATTGGTGAATATTTTTGTCTAAACAAATGTAATTAATCAATAATTCTTTTTTCTATAGCTGGCCAAATGGCTGGACCCAATGGGTTGAAATTTTGTGTTAAAGGCTTAAAAAAAACAGAAATTTTTTTTCAAATTTTTTTTTATAAAAATATTTTGTTTAAATTTTTCCACGGCCAACGCCGGGCCCTTCAGCTAGTATTAATTAAAACAGAATTTCTGGTACAAAAAGTTTCTTGTCTAAAGTTTGAAAACCTGTTTTGTTGCAAAAAATCGTTACATAAACCATAAAAATAAATTCATGTTGAATTATTGTTATTCTATAACCTTGTTTTCTTCTTATACTTCTAAACTAAAATCTTTTAAGATTAGCCTATGTTGCCTGGATGAATACAAAAAAATGTTGAGTGTTGACTTTTAAGAAAAAACTGCATTGACTAAACAACATTTTCTTGATTGAAGCAAATTTAATTAATTGATTAATTGATTAATTAATTAATTAACCATGATTTGACAATTTATTAAATATTTTCGACTGAACAATTGTAATTTATCAAGCGGCTCTGCAGCGAAACAGGCTTCAAAGGGACTGCTCAAGTGACTATCGTTGAAAGGAGTTTCCCAATTCCCAATGGTACCCCCAAATCTATACATAATCAATAATCAGGAATATGTTGTTGTTCTCCTGTACGATGAGTTTAAGTCTGACAATTTCCTACATTGTGACTGAAAATTATCAATTTTATAAGAGAAGATGATTAATATTTAGCTCATACGTTCTTAATCAGACAAACCTTGTATGGTACTGCTGGGATTCGCACATGTCTCTTTAAAACTAGAGTTAGTTAAAATAACTCTTACAATCCCTTCTATGATTAATTAATAAATGATTATAATCATTTAATGAAGCTTGAATGAGACACACAAGGGGGTGGGCCCAGCTGTAGAGAAGGACGCGTTCTGTTTTTTTCATCTTGTTCGTTCATCGTTCGATACATTTTGTTCGTTTTTGCTTAATCGTCCAAAAAAAAATCTTTTTTCGTTTTCCAAAATATCGTTCAATTTCCATCTGTTTCATTCGTTTACTCAGTGAGCCATTCTTCAGTAAAATCGTTCGTTTAGAAAAATCTTTCATTGAGTAAAGTTTTTTGTTCAGTAGAAAAACGATAGTTTAGTTAGTTTTTCAAACATTTGTCGGGAAAAGCCGTTTTTCAGTAAAAAAACAATCGGTTTTTTAAAAATGTGTTCCAAAAAATTGTACGGTTAGTAAAAAACTTTCGTTTTTGTCAAATCTTTTTAATAATTTTTTTTTTTTTAAATTTCGTTCGATCGATTTATATCATTCTTTTAATTCATTCGTTTTTTTATTTTTCTGAACGATCCAAGTCGTTCGTCCATCGTTCAATTTTTCTGAACAACAACCTTTTCCACTAAAAATTTCTTTCTTTCTAAAAAGTTTCGTTTGTTCAAAAAAGAAAGATGTCCATCTTTAAGTGGGGGTTAAACACTAGATTAACTTTGCAGTCTCAAGTTTAAAATGTCAGAATCGTTTATCTTCACGCTTAAGCATTTTTCCAAAGAGATTGTTCACATTTTTCAACAGAAGTTAGGCAGTGAGGCATAGCTCGGGTATCTTCAGATTAATTAACAAATCGAAATAAAGGATGTCCCATTCAAAGTTTTCAGCTCGGAGCTCGGAGCTGAAAACTTTAGAATGAGATATCCATTTATCCTGGTCGCTTAATCTGAGCATCCAATGTACACACTTCTGATTTTATTCTTCATCCTCTTTTTTGGATATCCCTACTGTATAAAAGTTACGTTTGATAACAATTACAGATACAATGCTATATCGATTGAACTAATATCCGATTGAATTAAAGTCAGCTGTTCACAAGCCGGCTTTTAGAGCATTTGAGCAAATATAAAATTTAATCAGGTTAATATGAACTTATTAAAATATATCACATTTCATGACTAGCATCATTTTAAACGAAGCTTAACAAACATTAATCCAAAATTTACATTTATTTAATCGATGATTAGTTCAATTGATATGACACAATTAACACCAGAAAAAAACCGGTTTTTCAAAAGTTAAACATCTTAGCATGATACGCTGATTGGTTGATTTTTATTCTTTCTTGGATATCTACTGCGTATTAAAGTAATTTCGGGTTTAGTTAAACCAGGAGTTTAAGCATTAATCTTGTTATCCATCATTCTAAAGTTTTCAGTTCAGGTTACTTATAGTTAATCCGACCGTTTACCCGGAAAACTAAATTTATGGTATTAAAACCCATTTACTAACCTTAGACTTTGAAACCCAGGCTGAGAACATTCCCGTGGTTCTCCTGAATTTCCCAATCAAAATTTAAAGCAAATCGGTCAAGGGGTTCATGACCCAACAGAGATTACAATTTTATTTATATAGATGAGATTAAAAATGGTGTAATCTGTGTTTGTATAAACATAATCGATTCATTTATCAGGCTTAGTAATCGATCAATACCGGCGCAGGATTAAGAGAGCAAGTTATTAGAGAATAAAATAACAAAAACAACTATCTACTCATTGAAGAAACCAAGTCTGCACGAGTTCACAAAATTATCTTTAAAAGTAAACAGTGGATAAGATAAACAAATAAAGCATTACAGTCAAACTCAAAATTGTATTCCATGAACATTGTACAGCATATTAAAGGTTATCTATGAATGTAATTTTACAGTGCAGTGGACAAACCTTGCAAGTCTAGTAAATTAGTTTTAAATCTTTACTGTACTGTACGTATCGGTATGCGTACTTTACGTGTACTGTACATGTACTGTACGTGTACTGCACGTGTACTGCACGTGTACTGCACGTGTACTGCACGTGTACTGCACGTGTACTGCACGTATACTGCACGTGTACTGCACGTGTACTGTACGTATACTGTATATGTACTGTACGTGTACTATACGTGTACTGCTCGTTTACTGCACGTGTACTGTACATGTACTGTACGCGTGCTGTACGTGTACTGTATGTTTACTGTAGGTGTACTGTAGGTGTACTGTACGTGTACTGTAGGTGTACTGTAGGTGTACTGTACGTGTACTGTACGTGTACTGTAAGTGTACTGTACGTGTACTGTGCGTGTACTGTAGGTGTACTGTACGTGTACTGTACGTGTACTGTACGTGTACTGTACGTGTACTTGTATAGGTTTGAATCTGTCAACCCCCGGAGTAACTGCAGTAACCTTCATGGATATGCTTACTAGGGCTAGGAAGAGATACAGGTTAGAAAAACTTAAAGTTAATTTGAAAAAAACTTAATCTAAAAAATGTTTTTTTTTATGGTTTGAAATAAACCATTGGGAGTTGAATGACAACCGTATTTGTATTTGCTTTGTGAGATTACTTATCATTTATTATCCAAAATCAATTGTATTATAAATTGGATACAATTTTGGTGCGAATAGTCCGGTTCAAAATATTTTTACTTTCTAAAATTGTTTACATCGTGTAAACAGATAACAGATAACAGATAACATAACACCCACTTTTTAATTAGCTGGATAGTTTACTTTTTAATTAGATTATAAGTCAGTTTTTAATTTTCAACTTACAGCTTGGATAGCATTCTGTAATACAACAAGAAAATAGAAGTTATCCTTTATTAGACCATAAACGGAAAATAAAACAATTTAATTAATTAAAATATATAAAACAGGGGGTGGACGATATATTTTATATGTTTTGTTTTGGTTTTCGGCCGTAGACTCTGTAATATTTGCGTGCAAAATGAGAGTGTTTGTTTTATTATTATTATTTTAAGATACAAATTCAATTCAATTTGCCTTAATTCAAAATTATCAATGCCTTCAAAAGTCACATAAAAGTAATTTGATCCCATACATTTTCGTTTCAACTCTACACTCTACACTCTACACTCTACACTCTACACTCTACACT